GTGGCATTGCTCCTCTCGGTGAGGGGTCTTCGGGGTCCTGGGGGTGCAGGTGATTCTGAGACTGGCAGCGACTGGGCAGGGAAGGAATGGGTGTGTTCTGGTCCTTGCTGCGGCTCAGCCCTAGTGTGGCACCTGGCACGCCGGAGCTGCTTCACATCCGTTAGCCAAAGGAGGGAGTGCATGAGAACGCATGGATGGGCTGGCTGCAGCTGCCAGAAATGACACAGGCGGATTCCAGGAAACAGTATGGCCGCTTCAGAAAACGGTGCAGCAGTGGGGCTGGGATCCTTGTATCTAGCCGTGCCTCTGAGACCCAGAGGCCATTCCCCGGAGGCCCTGTCCTGGGTGCCAGGGACACAGCCATGGACAGAACGGTCCCCGCCCACAGGGAGCTCTGGGGGAAGGCCAAAACAATCAAGTTCCTAGAGGACAGGGGTCAGGTAGCCATGAATACTATGAAGGAAGATAAAGCCCGGGAGAGAACAGAGGGGTGCCACAGGCCTCTGGGCAGGTGGGGTTTGGAAGACCCTGAATGGAGGAAGTGGGCCCGTTGGAAGCTGGGGAAGGGAGATGGAGGCAGAGGGTCCGCATGTGGGCTATCAGCAGTGAGTATTTAACCAGCACAGGTGGGTGTCATCATTGTCCCATTTTACAGTTAAGGGGATGGGGCACAGCTGGTAACTGTGGGGTGCTTTCCTCAGCCACCTGCTCTCTCACTCTGCGTCTAGGCCTGTGTGGAGGACTCGGTGACCCCAATCATCTTGCGTCTCAACTTCTCCCTGGTGGGCAAGCCCATCCCTTCGTTCGGACACCTCCAGCCTATGCTGGCTGCAGATGCTCCCACATACTTCACAGCCTCTGTGAGCCCTGATGCTGGGATCTCCCACAGGGGGTGGGAGGGGGCACTGCAGACCTTGGGGAAAACCCTGCTCTACCTTCCCTCTCAGCTCCCCTTTGAGAAGAACTGTGGAGCCGACCACGTCTGCCAGGATGACCTTCGCATCTCCTTTGGCTCCTCAGGGTGAACACCCAGCCCCTGGCACCTGCCCTGCTCCCTCAGCCCGCCCTCCTCCTGAAAACTAGACCTCCTGCTGGGTTCTCT